TCCGAGTGGTCCAAATGTATATTTATGTATACATACAAGGCATTAGGATAACGTCGCGTCGGATGCAAGATTTTCCACTCAGTAAGTTATGGACTCCATCGTTCTAGCGAAAATGTGTCGAGTGTGGGCGAAGTGACCTTGGTAAATGCGCTACATGGGAAGAAGAACGGCAGGATTTGGTGGTGAGAAGATGGGATATCCAGCCCTGTGCATACACGCTAGCTTCTTGGAGCGAGCTAGTAAATGTTTCCTCCCTAGGCAGACTGCATACTCGAGGGGCCAGACCACCTAGTCAGTGGAATAAGCTTCCAAAGACGTCGAGGAAACGAAGAATACGGTTCGACTATGGACCTAAATCAAACCTGCAAGTACTTCGTGTTTACATGACAGATGAAGCAGCACCATGACAGGTACACCAAATATGACGTATATACATGCACATAGCAAAGTCACCATCATGCCATGTCTTCTAACAATTTATAGATAATTTAACATTTCCTCAAATACCCGAGCATGTCACAGTGCTGTGTGCGATTCTATTTCCTTCCCGCCAAGTAACATGCCTGGGTGGGGGATGGGGCGTGGCAACCGTCTTTCGCTGGTGACGTTTGGTGGCCTATGCGATCGCGATCCCAACGGAACAAAACCGGATCAAGGCTGCGGGCTGTGCGTGTAAGAAGCAGTTGCTGGTTTCAAGTTGAAGTAGGTCGGTATGAAATTCTCTATGCATGTTAGTCATGTTTTTTTCCAGAAAAAAACGAGCTCACAGTTGCTGCGCGCAAATGATTGAATAATCCAGCACCGGGATTGGTTCCCGCGAATCATATTTCTCAAAACAAGACACCCTCTTTACCTCCTCTTCAGCATTAACGGAGCGACTGCTGTCGGACAACAGGCCTCTACAGGAAGCTCATTGTATACCTGAATTGGTATGCATACTTACCGCAGATAAAATTGCGCAGTCTGCCCTCCCCATCCTAGTCCGTCCTCGGGCTGGTATACCTCGTGTCCATCTTTGCACACCCATCCTCTCACACATCCATCTTCTTCGACCATCCATCTCCCCTTAAGCGTCCCACAAAATCTGAAACAATATAGGGACACAGACGGTACTACGTGAGCTCCAGTGAACTGGTAGTGTGCTCTTTAGCGTGCGTTCGCTGCCTGCCAGCTTCCGTGATGCAAGGAAACCCATATCAATCATCCATTCCTGAACATGGCAGGAAGGTCGCAATACCAAAGCTGCCGCCGCGCCCTGGTAAGGAAAAGCAGGAAAAAGTTGAGAAAGAAGATCGGGTGTCAGTAACAACCACTCAAAGGCAATCGATAGACTGACATATTTCTGTAGAGCAAGAGCATGCAAAGCCTGCCGCAAACGAAGCACGTTAATCTTTTTCTTGAAATTGACTCATCAAGCTAATTCTGAACACAGAAGTCCGATGTTCAGGTGAGACGCCGCGTTGCGCCACTTGCGAACGAGCCGGTTCAGTCTGTGTCTATGACTCTGCACGGCGTGATCGACTGGGAGAGTGTGTTTCCAAGACACCATCGTCATGTAATTTCGCGCTGACTCTTCAGGGCGATGCGGTTGAATCAGGATCTTGTTAACCTCCTGAGGGCATTGGAGGGACGCGTCGGCGATGCAGACAAGAAAACCATCAACCAAGTATTACAGAATGTACGTTTGCCATGCGTATCTGCCATGTGGCGCCACATATTCTGCTAATCATTAGTCTTTATAGGTAGAAGACGACCTGGTCTCCTTGGATTCTGTTCAATTGAGCAAAACGTTGGGGAAAAGACCACGCGAACCGTCCTCAGGGGAAAAGGACCCAGAAACTACTAACCATGGAGAGGCTTTCGTTACCGCATCAGTTGGTTCGAATGAAGATCTCGATTTTTTGGACGAAGATTTGATGCGTAACCGCGAAGCGAGAGAGACCGGCTATATAGGCCAAAACTCTGAGGTACAATGGCTGCGAAGCGTTCAACGCCAAGCTGAACGTGGAAGTACGAATCCCGAAGGCCAGAGACACGGTCCTCCCGGCTCAAGCTCGAAAGCCGTCAATGAACGAGTCGAGGCTTTGCATGAACGAAGACAGAATACCAGTCAAGGTTCCATGCAACACACAACTGACGCAACCTTCTATCTGGATAGCGACGACATCGAGATCGATATAGCGGTCGATCCTTACGAAATGCCGGAACCAGGAGTTGCCGAGAACCTCTTCAACTGCTATCTCGAAACCGTGCACAGTACTTTTCCACTCATGCCGGTCAATTTCGAGGGTCAATTTCGCCGCTACATACAATCTGCAAAACAGAAACGCCAATACGAGATCCCTCCAAAATGGCGTATTACCATGAATCTCCTCTTTGCAATCGGAGCGAAATACTCTCAGCTCATCGGAGCTCCATGGAGAGGAGACGAAAGAGATCACTTGATCTACATGACTCGTGCAGTGCATCTTCTACGTCTAGGTGACCCCATAGTGTTTATTGCAGCACCTACCATGGATAGGGTTCAGGCTGTAAGCGGCCTATGTTTCATTCTCCATAATGGCAGCTGATGTTTAAAACTACAGACTGGTGCCCTGGCATTTTACTTCCTTGCAATCGGCCATGTTAGTAGGGCGTGGATCATGATCGGAGTTTCTATCAGACTGGCCTTGGCTCTCGGCCTTCATCTACGCAATGAGAATACAGCACTAGACGACTCTAAGAAAGAGCCGCTAGTGAGGACATGGTGGTGTCTGCACGCTATCGAATGTCTTGTGTCATCCATCACGGGCCGTCCCCCGGTTATTGGACATGAGGACTGTACTGTCTCTTTACCAAAATCCAATTCCGGGCCGTTAAATCCAGATAACAGTTCATCTAGACAATCTTCCCGCGTCCGTACAAGCTATGAATCACCACAATCAAGCGCAAGGAGTAGCGCCTCTCAGTCCGGTAGAGGTACTGATGACAGTAGTTATTTGGTTGCATACATCAATTTGAATCTTATCTCGCAAAAGGTTCTTCTTAGCTTGTATTCCCCACGGACTGCAGCTCGATCCTGGGAGGTATGTCCAGAACCATACTGCTTGGCTGCTCTTTTTCACATGTATCTATCTCTTGGATTTGCTAACGACTATGATTCACAGCACATCCAGACAAGGATCACGGAGCTTCTCAATGAACTGGATGATTGGGCCAAGATAGCTTTGCCGTCTGAATATCTTCATGCAAGTAGCTGGGCCCCGCAACCCGACGTCGATCGCGAACGCTACCTGTTCAGAATTTACTATTGGAGCACGAGGATCCTCATCACACGACCTTGTCTCTGTAGAATCGAGAGACGAATAGAATCTGAGAGCAGCCGGTCGGCCATCTTCAACGCAAAAACGGCCGAGTTGTGTGTTCAAGCGGCCGAACAAATAACATCATTGTTTCCCGACCAGCCAGACACGACCTTCATTTACTCTCGTGGTCCGTGGTGGGATGTAGTTCACATCAGTAAGTCTTGTAGACCCGACTAGTGACGAAATTTACTGATAATTATTGCAAAAGTCATGCAGAGCATGGCCGTGCTTTTGCTGGAGATGTCTTACGAGGGCCAAAATTTGAAGGATGACAAAGAAAACATCATGAAATGTATCAAGAAGTTGATGAGTTGGCTCCGTGCTTTGCGAATCAACGACCCTGTCGCCTCTCGAGCTCACGGCGTGGTTTACAAGATCCTAAACACATGTGCTCCTAGCTTAAGAGAACAGGTCAAGGAGCTCATGAATGATGATGGTGATCAGCCTTCGCAATCCAGGACATGGGAGCGTTCCCAAGATTTCAACATTCCACCTCAACAAGAGTCCTGGGATAAATCAAGCGAACCTATCTATCCAGCAGTGTCTTCACAGACTTTCCCACCATTCCTCTCGGAGCAGTTCCCGGACCCCATCTATCCATACCCTATCGAGTACGACCAATCCATGGCCTTTTCATTCGGAAACCCTTTCACGACAACTTTTGATCAGGGACCTCCAATCCTCGACATGCAGAATCTTTGGTGGCAATCAGCATCGTCTGCCAATATGAGTCTGGACCCTTCGGAGTTGGTCATGCCTTACCAACAGCAGCCGCAGCCGCAGCAACCGCAACCGCAACAGCAGATGCACGGCCAGATTCATCAAGGCATACAGCAGACCGACTGGATGCACCAGCCAGATGGAGATGACGACCTCGACCAACCGCCCCAACAGTAACGGCAACCAGGCTGATGGCCAGGTTATCCATAGATTTTAGCTATCATGTCAGCCTCTTGAATTTCACTAGTTTGCACCCCTAGCCCCATTTACTTTTGCATCGATCTTCACTTATACCTCTGTTTTCCGGGTGAAGGGTGGCCAAGTTAAAAACAAGGAAGGGACAATTTCAATTTGATGTTGGATAGCTGCAAGAGGCATTATTGGCAATCGAATTTGCACTTTTGATACACGCAAAAGTCTTATCACCACAAGTCTTTCATAGTGCATGAATAAGTGGATTTATTTGCTGGTTCTTGCTCTGAGGAACGAGAGACATTGCGTTGGTGTTTTGATATGGCGTCCGGTCAAGATGCATCTCACCGTGCATTCATATCATCGTCTACAACAGGGACTCTGCTTAACAAGAAACTCCATGAAATCTGTGAGCAGAATCTATTTATTCCTGTACTACAACCAGAAATGATCAAATGCATGTGCGCTAAACTCTAGTATCGTGCGAGGCCACCAGCGCATGGTACAGTATCCTCACTATTCACTACTCACTTTCGCCGAGCCCCGTGGGGCTTGGCATTTGTTTGCTACTACAACACCTAGATTAGCTCGCTCGTTTCTACTCTTTTTTTTCAATTCGTACACATACGCACACGCACACGCACACACACACACACACACACGCACTCTCTCTCTCTCTCTCTCTATCTCCTTGGTAGGACAGCTCCCTAATATTGCACAGTTTCTAACAAGTCTACAGTCACTATGTCTGCCAACACTAATGAAGTCGTTATGCGTGACGCCCGTGCGTGTAAGCAGTCCGCGCAAAAGAGGAAGGGTACTACCCTAATAGAGCTAAGTAATGATAGAGGTGCAGCTCCCGTTTCGAGGCGTCGCTAGAGACGTGATAACGCTCTGGCACTATTAAAAGATGAGACTAAGTCAATGACTATCGCCTAGTCTAGATAAGCAAACCCGGACGCTCCCCTCGACAAGCTAATTAGCTTAGGAGAGGAAGAGCTTAAAGGAATTAATAATGCAAGCAGCGAGTGGCGTGATGGTGGTAAGCTGACTTGCGAGGAGTGCGGACGTTCCCACCCTCCGCCGTGTATAAGCGAAGAAGATAGATCTAAACTTTATATCAGACAAGTATTGCTAAGGGAATATAAGAAGGAGAAGGCTACGGCAGAAGCGCCTAAACCTTTAGATCCCTCTCAAGAAGAGGGAGAACTTACCAAGGGGCCTGAGCCTTTAGGTCCCGCTCGAGAAAAGGGAGAACCTATCAAGGAGCCCCCTAAGAAGAAGAAGAAGGCTAATCGCTGGTGCGGGCGATGTGGCAACTTCTATGGCGGTTAGTGTAGGATGCTGAAGTGCTCTTCGTGCAGCCAATATCACTTCCCTAATAAGGAGTGCATGGCAGCTGACCCTACGTTGAAGAACTGGGGTAGGCTTATTCCGCTGTTAAGCCCTGAAGCTATACTAGCAGCCGCGACTCTTATAAACCAGCAATTTGCTGAGATCGCGAAGTCGTTTAGTAAGAAGAAGAAAAATAACTAACTTGAGAGAAATCTCAGAGGGGTTGGGCTAACCTCTAGAACAACCTAGTCGTGACTCTAGCCATACCTCCGCGCGGTTCACGACGGGAACTTTATAGTGCTTAGGCATGTAATGCTAAGGTAGTAAGCTAAAATTAGTAGTATCTAAAACTAAGTATCTTCTTTTATCGCTTCTTCACTAGGCTACGCTAATAGAAGTAAATTCTCTATACAATTTCTATTTAACGGCCGCTTAAACTCCCTAACGTGGTTCACAAGCGAGTCGGCCACCCAAGCGAGTCGGCCACTTTACACTAGCGCGTCAACTTCAAGTTATTACAACAGACTTTTATCAT